AACCGACTATAATTTTTACCCATTCTTTTCGAGTGATAGTGACTTGCTTGAAAAAAAACGGGAAGATATGACCGATGGTCATTCAATTGTTATCACAAGGAAAACAGTAGCAAACAAAACGTTTATTCGAAAGTCAAACAACTTGTGTAAATCAATGGTTGGTATTGATGCTAGTCACTTCTAACCTTATTGTATGTGTCAGGATATGCCCACAGGCTTGTATACGAGATAGGACTACAATGAAGAGACACAGAAATTCAATTCAAGACAAGGCAAAAACTAGATCGAACATTTGAAAATATCTTCATATCATATTTTCAAGCAATCAGACCTGAAAGCAAAATTGAGAGTTACTACACTACAAGAACACAGAAAAAAATGATTGCTTCAATGTTGATGGTTATTGCAACCATTGTAAGACTGTTATTGAAGCAATGGGTTGTTGTTTTCATTTTTGCCCTTGTCAAGATGCTAGACCCAGCCTTACTGATGATGAAATCAAACGAGGAACCAAGAAAAGAGAAATCGATGAGCTTTGAAAAGATTACATTCGAAAAAAAGGATGATCTAGAGAAGGTATGTGGGAGTGTTGTTGGTGGGATCAATTTAAAAACAATGTAGGCGTGACAAATCACACTAGAACTCACTTTCCTTACAAAAGACCTCTTTTGGCCCATTCACTACTGCAAATTATTAGAAATGAAACATTGTTCGGCTACGTGCAATGCGATCTGAGTGTTCCAGATGAGCTTAAAGCGAAATTTTTCAATTTCCCACCTGTTTTCAAAATTAATGATGTTATCAGAATCGATATTGGGAAACATATGAAAACATATGCGGAATAAAACGATTCGTTAAAACAACCGCAACGAATGTTGATATCTAGCTTCCATTTGACCAACGGAACACTTATCACGCCACTTTTCAACTTTCACTTAGATCTTGGACTACATTGTACAAAAATTCATCAATTTGTACAATAACCACCACGTAAAGTATTCATTAGTTTTGTTCAGTCTGTTGTTGATGCTAGGCGAGCCAGTGAGAAAAATCCATTACCTGGTGTAGTAGCCGAAACAATGAATTTTCTAGGATATAGTTCCTACGGCTATCGAATATTGGACAGATCAAAACATACAATGACAAAAAATCTTGGAGACGAAAAAACCCATAAAGCTATCAATAACCAGGTCTTCAAGAGACTCAATATCGTAGCTAAAGATTTGTATGAAGTGGAGCTTGTTAAATCTACTATAGAGCATTGTGAACCAATTATAATACGATTCTTTACACTACAGTATGCCAAGTTGAGAATGTTGGAGCTGTATTACAACTTTTTTTGATAATTTTTGCGATGCCAACAAATTCGAAAAACTCGAAAGGGATACAGATTCTTTCTATTTGGCTTTGGCAGAAGAAGATTTAGATGAATGTATCCTTCCTTGCAAGCGAGCAGAATGGACTGAAAAGCGAAGCAAGAACTGTCGAGACAATTTCAGAGCAGATGCGAAAAACACTTTTTTCCCCCGTACTTAATGCTCCAAACAAAAGAAACATAACAACAGAGAACCAGGGTTGCTCTAGGAGGAGTTCAGATGCACCGAAATGTTATGCCTGTGTAGTAAATCCTATTGCTGTTATGATAGTAAAAGTCAGAAGTATAAATTTAGCAGTAAAGGACTGAACAAACGCGCATTAGAAGACTCTGGAGATGGCCTAATGGCAAAGTATGGCCAAGTACTGGATGAGGCAGTGAGTTTAAAGTAAACGAAAAGAGGATTTAAAACAATTAACCTTGCGGTCGCAACTTATGAACAAACTAAAAAAGGACTAAGCGGGAAGTTAAATGAGATGGAATACATACTAAACCTCTAAATTTGTAAGAGATTATGTAGCAAAATTGTATACGATGCTGTGAATTAATACATTTTCTCTGTAATTAACTTTCTTCCAAAAATTCTTTTTAAATGCTACGTTTGGAATAACAAAACATTGGTTTTCGATTAAGAAAACATTAAGAATCTGGAACATTGGCAAAATCGAGCGCCTTAATTTTTTTCTCGAAATTTACCATCTCACCATCTGAAACTCTGAGAGCCATATGCAAACTTGCAACAATAGAAAGTCTATTCCCACGTAATACATTAATAATACTTACCCATTAGGTAACGCGCGCCGAAATTTTTGCGAAAAAAATAGACATTTCCACACAAAATCCAACCGTTTTTCATTCTTTTACCATCACACTGAAACCTTATCATTCCCTATCTTAACACACTGAGAAACCTATTCCCTATCTTAATGAGTTCTTAATACCCAACAATGAATTCATTATTATAAGGAAATCTATACACTATCCTTATACACGGACAACTCGGGCACCGAAAAGAACTTGCCATCTGAAACCTGGTATCTTAATACATTGGGAAACCTATTCTCTATGTTAATACATAGGGGGATGAGCAAATACTTTATAGCCTATGTTATTACATAGAAGCAGTCCTCACATAGAAGCAGTCGTCAAGCAGTAGAAGCAGTCCTCAAGCAGTAGAAGCAGTCCTCACATGGAAACCACCGAGGACAGCACATCAATTGATGAGTTTCCTTGGCTTTGCAAACTACTATAGAGAAATCATCAGTAGTTATGCCGGTAAATTATATCCGATGCAACAACTGATGCGGCTCAAAGGAAAGAAGTTAACATGGAGAGAGAGCGCAGAAGAAGCATTCCAGAAGATAAAGAAACAACTGTGCGAAGCTCCATTACTGGACATGCCGACAGGAAACGGCAGGTACATAGTAGATACCGACGCAGCAGTGGTAGCCTTTTAGGGCATGCTTCATCAAGAGCAAACGTGAATGGGAGAACCTTGAGGCCAATGGTATATGGCATTAAAGTTCTGAATGACACAAAAATGACATACGGAGCACCGAGAGCGGAGATATTTGCAGTCGTCACTTTTGTAGAAAATTACTGGGCATACTAGGGTAGCAAGCAATTCAAATTAAGAGTCGACAATAGAGCGTTATCATGGTTGAAAACCTGTTCCATGGACCAGAGCTATTTAGGGAGATAGATTGTCAGACTAGATGGATGCAAAATGATTAACGAGCATAGAACTAGAGACAAATATCAAAACGCCGACAGTTTGAGCACCAACACCTTCTTCAGCTTCAAATGTAATTAAAGATTTATGGATATGCATCGAAAGTTAGTGAATTAGGCATAAAATACTGCAATTGTCTTGAAAAAAAACAAACGGCAAAATGAATCAAAATTCATGAAATGATTTCTGAAATAGCTCCCAATTTTTTTAGTTAAAGTTTTATAAATTGTAGGATATTTTTTATGGCCAAAAAAACGCTGAATTAAGCTTTTGAAATTGTTTTGTTTTCGTAAAATTGAATTTTCTCCTAAATTGTCAATATTTACAAACAACGAAATTACTCGATTGCTTTACTCGCTCGAAATTTGAATAAAACTCAAAAATTTTAAACCGGTTTCTCTGAACACTGGGGAAAAAATGTTTGAAAATATTTTAAGGTCGTTAGAATTACGATTGAAAGGGCTTTGTTATAATATATCACCATTTCAAATTTGAATAATGGCAATTTTCAACCCCCTGTGAGTTTACAATTAATACCTCTCGAATATCGAACAACACTCACAATGTTCCAACTCAACTTTAAGGCCAGAAAAATTGTTTTGTTTGAAAATTTTATGAAAACAAACAACAGAGACTAAATTTAGTCATTATTATTTTTTTCATTTTATTGCTCTACATGCTGAGACCAATCCACCTCATTTAAAATTGGAATAGTTCAATCCGCTGCTTGCGCATTTCAAAAGAACACAACAATCGCGCAATAATTTTTCAGCTCGTAATTTAAGCAAAAAAAATCACAGGTAATTATTTATGCTTGAGCTCTGTACCATCTGGAAGATTTTGATGAACGGAAAACTTCCGTCGAAAACGCTAGATGCATACCTTGCAGCGTTTTCAACGCTTTCGAATGTCGGAACAATAAAGGATCACAGTTAAAACAATGTTATATTGCAGCTCCATGCGTTAATACCATTCAGATGGTGAAATCTGCATTCAAAAACGTGACAAATTGAAAAGTCAAATTTTGTCATAAAAAACTACTGCGAGCCAATTATTCCAAACTTTTTTCTAAAAACAAAAGCTACCGTTAGTTTGTCCGTGACAATTAAGCCGAGCCATATTGGGTTGTACTCATTTTCAACCGAATGCTCGCAAAAAACTTGCATCTTTTTTTACTCAAACTTTCACAGCGCAGCGGAGTTTTTAAAGTTAGCAATGGTAATTCACAGTGCACATATAGTCCGGTGCTGAATAAGGATTTAGTCGTAGATGATGAGGTGATTGTATATTGGCTAGATTTTTATAGGTTTATACAAATAGTTCTCCCTTATACCAAAGCACTTCAAATATCCTAAGTGAGAAAACCATTTGGATCATTTTATTAAAAAGTAGTCAAAATACTGTCCCCCCTTATCCCTGACTGGATATGTTAAATTCTCGGTGAAAATCTTAATAATTAATCCATGAAATAAGATCGATGAAATTCATGAACTATCAACTAATTGCTCATTGAAGGCATGGAAAAACGATGAAGACCTGATCCATTGAACTAAATCTGCTTGTGCTGAAATTTCAGTTTTTTGTGCAGATCCAATACTTTAAGGTATTGCAAGCCTCACTCTGGTCTGCGCATGGTTGAGTTTTTGTCAAATGCCGATATCAAGACGATACTACAAACAATTCTAATTTATGAATCAATCAACTATGTAATGTGCACTAACTCTTTGGCAATTATTTAATTTTCAAGCATTTGACGTCTGCGCGAAGTTATCGCGACTCACTTTCATAACATTTAAAGTTGGACTTAACTGTTTTGCTTCGATACGCATTGTATCGTCCGTCACTGCATCCCGACGGTCTTGCTCCTAATAAAGTGGCTTAGCAAACTCGAACGACGTTTTTGAAATTTAGAATTGATTAGGCACGAACAAAACTCATATTCATCATCACACACGTATATACTAGCACCACTTTGGCCAAAACATCATCACATACCCAAAACAATACGTTATTCATTATTCAAATTACGTTTTAAATATTACACTGCATGATAATTTATAGTTAGTAGCATGAGTTCATTCTAGATGGTTCAGTTCTTGTGCCATAACAACTCCACGTAGTAAGAAGTCGTCATATTGTCGATTAAGACAGTATCACTGGATAGTTGGTTGCATGAAATAAAGCGAACTAATGTGCCTACTAGTACAAACAGTTCCACCGCCAATCAGCTAGATAGCAGAAAGTGTTAAACAAACGTAAAGCCAGCTTCATTGGTTCTTTAAATATTGTAAGTGTACCATTGAGTGATTCTCTTTAATTGGTGTTGTATGCTGTTGTTACATCTGAAACAGAAAATGTTAGAAGTTCAAGACGCGTACCATTAATCTAGGATTCAAGAAGTTTGATTCAAAATAAGTACTTAACGTTAACTTGATCAGATAAATTACATGAGTGAGCTGTAGTTGTTCAACACAGCCTCATTATCAATTTCAATCCACTGTGCACCATGTATGTCCGGCTAACAAGTGAAATTCGACAATATACGAAAAGAATGATCATGTAGATAACGGTTTTTATTAAGCTAAAAGAGCCGTTTCTGCACAATGGAAGGGTTTGTACCACGTTTTTTCCGGTGCCCGGTCCCTTCTTTGAAATTAGTTTGAATTGCAATCTACTGCATCAAGAAAATATTAATGCTTGTTCAAATCAAAATGGATTAGATTAGCTTTAGCCACGAATTCGAACAAGCGCATAACTGAAAAAACCGCAAACCCAACGCTTTAGAATATAAAACAATTGAACTAGGCAGGTTTCCTGACTCACTTTAGATCGTAGCCATGGTGCTTTAAAACTTCTCCTCGATGAGGCAGGGTCTGAAGAAGATGAAGATGGGGATCTGTCCTCCTGGGTACTCGTTGCTGACCTTAGTGTCCTCCCACCTCACGGGAATCACAACCCCCTGCATGTGCTTCATATCTCCGTCCGCGGTCTCCTTGCTGGCTTCATGGTGTTCTCCGTGGTACCACGAGTAGTCCTTAGCGTTCTCCATGATGTCAACTACCTGCGGGTCTTCGAAGAATCCCTTCGCAAACTTCTTCAGCTTCTCTAGTTTGTCGTCCATCTCGTTTTCTTTGTAGTGTGCAACGACACTGAAACATAAATCATTTCTAAGTTTTTGCAGATTCGGATTATTATCGGATCAGAATTGCTTTTAAATTAGAAAAAAGTCAAACAATAAAAAGTGTTTTTGATCATATTGTTTGACTTTTATAATAAGCTTAGGTTGTTCGCACGAAGTTGCCAGACTGACACTCATTAGAGTTACTCAACCATTTCCGACACTCATTCAAAGCGATCCAAAAATCAAACACTATGGTTATCCTCTCAACAAAACATATTAGGCATTGAGGCTATTGGCTTTTTTACGGTTTTTGGTGTAGATATCAGGAAACCAATTATCAAATAAAACTTTAAAACCTTGATATGAAAATCGTTCAACATTCATGTAGCTTAACTTACTCTGTGATGTATTTCTTAATGTGTTTCTTGTACATGTTCTTGGTGTAATCCGGTCCCTCTTCTAGTTTGGCATTCAACACGACGTCGATTCCTGCCTCTTTGGCTTCATCGTCGACGACCTCGTCATCCTCAGCGCCCTCTGCCGAGGCATTTCCACCAATCATGGCGTCACTGATCTTGTCAGATCGGGAAATGTAAGCACCGTGCACTTCCAAAATGTCTCCTTTTTCCACAACCTTCAAGGCATCGGAGAAGAGCTCAGATTCTACACATCACAACACTGATTATAGAAGGGAAACTATTTTGCTATGTTAACTAGCATCTCAATTCTGTTCGAAACAAAACCAATGAACAAATATCAAATAAAATTATGAAGTTCAAAAGAAAAGTTTACCGGTGATTGGGTCCTTGAAGATCTTCATTTTGTGTCGGCAGAGATCTGACTATTCGATCTGAAAGGGATAAGAACACTGACGGAAACATGAAATTAATTCTATAAAAGCAATGGCGCCAATTTGACCTTGAGACTCAAAATTTATAAGCGTAGAGAAATGCAATACGTTCGGCCAGACAGATTTATAATTAGTTGCAAAAAGTTCGGACAGACAAATTTAATTAAAAAGAGCAATTGACCTATATTGGAAATATTTTGCATGCAAAATCTAATTTTTCAGTCCGATTTTGTGTCTCAAGGTTGTATGAAAAAAGAAATTGCATGCAAAAATCTGTCAAAATGGTACGATTGCTCTTTTCAATTAATTCTGTCTGTCCGAACTTTTTGCAACTCTCTATATAGTTAATGCCAAATAGTTGGCAATATCTTTTCGGCCAACGAATCTGAACGAAGTTTGTTAATGTAAAACTGCTCATTTTGACGTCAAATTTTGTCTCATTAGGGATTTCCACACGTAAGAACGGTTTCCGAAAAAATAATTAACCTAAAATGCTATAGTTTTTGACCGATTAAACGATCACAGATACTGCCGACAATTTGGCATTTACTGTAATTAAAAAGAAAGAACGATCTGTCCAGTTTCAAATAGCCTTGAGACATGAATTATGTCTGAAAAGTTACCTTTTGCCAAAATTTGTCCGACATAGGCCCTTTAAATTAATTTTGAGTATCCGAACTTTTTATACTATAATTAGTAGCAAAAAGTTTGGACAGACAAAATTAATTTAAAAAAGAGTAAATAACCCTTTTCGGAGTGTTTTTGCATGCAACAGCTCATTTTTCAGACATCTCTATAGTTCAAGGTCCTAAGATTTTATTTTGCATGCAACATTTGCTCAAAATTGACAGATTGCTTTTCCAATTCATTCTATGTTCCAGTTTTTGGTAATTTATTGTAATGCCAAACTTTTGGCAATCTGCTTTTGAGTCACGGAATATGAACAAAATTTATTAACATAGAACTGCTCATTTTGATGCCTGAAATCAACTTTTACTTCGATTGAGCACGTCAAAACGGTGTAAAAACCTAATTAATCTATGTGTGTGAACCAATTATGAGGCTCAAGGTCATCGATGACTTTTTTAAGAGCCATAAATTTTCATTATAAAAAATTGGGCGTAACCGCTAATGCAAGGGAGCTTCCCACAACCTGTTCCCACAATTGAAACCAAAATCTCAGATTTGAGAGGGTAGTTTTCGAGAAAATTTAAATAATCCAAAAAAAGGGGTCAAAATTCCCCCAAAACACTTTTTCGAAGGCTGTAGAAAGTGGGGTAAGGTTAAGAGATTAAGTGAGTATGCTGACACACATGGGAGTAGTTTTTGAGAAAAAAAATTTGCCAAGCGTCTCAAAATAAAATTAATTAAAAAAACTGATCAAGCAAACTTACAGTAAAAACTGATAAATTGGAACAAAACCCAGGCTTCAAAAAGTAAACCAATAAAAACAGTACCAGATAAAAAATGGCGTTTAAAAAACGGAAAATGAGCCGACAGAAACTACGAAACACGAAAAAAAAAAGAGAAATTTTTTGGAAAGAAAATTACTTCTTGAAACGCGTTTGGACTAATTTCTAGAGGAAGATACTACTTAGGTATCTTTTTCTAGAAGTGAAGATCCTCTAGAAGTGCAGATCTGGTGGTTAAAGTTGTTTGCGGGAAAAAAGTCTAGAACCCGATTGCAACACCCTTGCTTATCGCATGGGTAAACATAGCCAATAAAAGATTGGATAAGATTAATGAACGCAAGTTAACATAAAAAACACTTTTTTTGTTTAAAAAAAATCTCAACTTTCGAATTTCAAAGAAAAAAATAGATGCCTTTTAAGCTCTTTGAACTTCAAGAACGATAAATAATTAGCGCTTCTTTTAATATTAACCCAATTTGAGAAAACTAGATCAAAAGGTTAAACATTTATTTCGCTGGGAAAGGTGATAAATAAATTCCACTTTTGAAACTAGAATTCGTTCTCGTTTTTTTTCGCCATTTCCACTTTCGTATTTGGAGGGTGCTATTTACGTCACTTTCAATTTCAACTAGCATGTACCGCACTTCCGGTGCTTCGAATTTAAGATTAAGACTTTTAAGATTTTCAGCAACTCAAAAAACTATTCTTTGAGTGTACTCTGACAGCACCCAATTACAGGGTTCGTAATTAAAATTTTGCAAAGTTTAAAATGAACCAAGATGAAATGTGATCAAGATCAAAATGAACCAGAAACGTCAGATCTGGGAAACTGAAAGCAATTGAGCAGTCGCATTTGGACGCAAGATTTGCAACTCCTGAGAGTAACTTCAATTTTTCTAAAATTTTTCATTCGATTTTTTAATTCAAATTTTGAAAAACCATAAAAATTTGTGACATTTTTTATATCTAAGTTTATAACGAATTGAGAAACTCACATCTGGGAAACTGAAAGCAATTGAGCAGACGCATTTGGATGCAAGATTTGCAACTCCTGAGAGTACCCTTACAGTACCCAACTATAACGTTGGGAAATTCAGATTTTCAGAAACTTCACCTGAAGTTATCTAAATGAGGTATTTTTTTTGAAAACCAGAAAAAAATTACATTTCGAAAATTAACGAAATTTGAGCAGTATTTTTGATGGCAATATTCGCAATCTCTGAAAGTACACAACTACAGGGTTGGAAATTTCACTTGACCGAATTATTTTGTAATTTGAGTTTTCTGAAAATTTCCAAAAAAAATCACAAAAATTGTCTTCTCTTGAACAAAAATGATTTGGGCATTCTTAATTGGAGGCCGAATTTGCAATCCCTGAGATTACTCTGACAAGCCCCCAACTAAAGGTTAGGAATTCCAAACTTTCAAAAATAATAATAATTTTCATGAAAAATTTTTGAAAAAATCATAAAAACGTCATATCTGGAAAACTGCGAGATTTTGAGCAGTCCTATTGAGAGGCAAGATTAGCAAACCCTGAGATTACCCTCAAAGATTCCAATAACAGGATTGATACCTTCAAAGTTTTGGAATTTTTTAACATTTAAGTTAACAATTTCGGAGAAAATCATAAAAAACGTCATATCTCGAAAACTACAAGGATTTGAGCAGTCATATTTGGCGGGGAAATTCGCAACTCCCGAGAGTTCCCTGACAGAGCCTAACTACAGAGATAGTAATTTCAAGTTTAGTTAATTTTTTTATATATACGTTTTCTGAAAAATTCTGAGAAAAATCCAAAAAAAATGTCATCTCGAAAACTACACGGATTTGAGAAGTGAGAAATAGATGCAAGATTCCCAACCCCTGAGAGTACCCAGACAGCAACCACCTACAGGGCGAGAATTTCAAAAATTGAGAAATTCTTTAAACTTAAATTTTCTTGAAAAACCTCGAAAATTGCCTATTCGAAAAAACCTCGAAAATTGCGTAAACTAGAAGGATTTGGTTATTCATATATGGAGGCCAGAATCGCAAAACCTGGGAAAACTCTGACAATATCCTACTATTGAGTTGCTAATTTCAAACTTGATGGAATAAACACTGAACTAAAACTGAAAAATCCAAAACAAACCTTAACCATTGCAATATACGATATAGCCGAAACGTGAAAAAATTCATTTGTTAAACATGCAAAATATTACGTTGAAAAAGCTTTAACATGGCGAGACAGTGAAGCCCGCATTTAAATATATAATATAAGATAGATTATAGTTTAAAAAATTAGGCGACGGGTAGACAGACAATCAAATTAATTTAAAAAGCAGGTGTACAAACAGAGAGACTTAATTTGGCCTCGAAAAAAAAACTGAAAAAATAACGATTTTGCGAAAAACTAATTAAAAAACTTTCTTAAGCATGGCAATATATGATATAGCTTAAACATGAAAAAAAAATTTCGTTAAACATGCAAAACTATTATGCTTAAACATGGGAGATAACTGTCACTCGCATTTAAATAGAGTGTAGATAGATAGATAGATATAGATAGATAGATGAAAGTTAAAAAATTAGGCGACGGGTAGACACATAATCAAATTAATTTAAAAAGCAGGCATACAGACAAATAGACTTAATTTGGCCTCGAAAAAAAATACTGAAAAATTAATGACCTTGCGAAAAATTAATTGAAAAATTATCTTAAGCATTGCAATATATGATATAGCTTAAACATGAAAAAATTCTTTCGTTAAACATGCAAAAACAATATGCTTAAACATGGGAGATAGCTGTCACTAGCATTTAAATATAGTATAGATAGATAGATATAGATTGAACTCAAAAAGTGCATATATACATAAGTGCATCAACATTTTAAGACTTTTTCCTGAAAAAAAAATCAGCAAGACATATATAAGAGTCTTCACTACGTTCATTACTCTTAAAAAGATCTAACTTTCGAGATTTTTTTGAATCCGCCAGTCGCCATAGAAGTACAGCGTGATATAATTCGCTTCTAGTAACGTTGCAAATGACAAGCTAGCTTCAACCAATTTAGAACGACTTCTAAGACGTTTAAATCTCCGCCTACGCGTTTATATCGCACATTAATTGTCTCAAAGTGGCAATCTTTTAACTCCCATAACTTCACAGAAACTGATCACAGATGAAACAAAAGATTTCAGATTGGATAGTTAAATGGCTAGTTAAAAAGTCGAAACTTGTCCGGAAAAAATATACCACCCGAGTACCAATATTACCTTACTTTCTACGAAAGACGGAAAAAAATTCATGAAGAAAATTATTGTTTTGAAGAAAATTATTTTGTTAATTAATAATAAACCAACCCTTATCAACACTAAAATTAAAGGGAATGACAATTAAACAGGGATTCATAAATAATCGTTAGTGATCTTTGGTTTTTCTGGTTTTCTGAATTTCAGCTTCGACGTAATTCCGAATCATCGAGCAAACCAAGCTGATTTGATCCAAAAATCGTTTTTCAGTTTCATAAACATAGGTGAAGCCCAGATAGATATTTTCTGCGACAGAAAGAAGGTGCGATTGACACAAAAACAAAAAAAAA